TTTTGGGTTCAGGGGGTGGGATTTTGAGACATTGGCGAATGAACACCTATGAGGGATTAGGGCTTGCACTTCTTTGCTCGTTTTTCTGATTGCCTGCGTTTCCGGTGCTTCTAAAGTCCCTCAGTTAAGAGTGTTCAGTATTCGGACAGCTTTTATGGAGAGTTATGCAGTTCGAACAGTGAGCCCCGTATGAAGTATAGTCTAAACTCATTAAATGGGGGCTGTATAGGGGATTATATAGGGTACTATTCTAAGGGTTCTTAAGGGGGATGCTAGGAGTCTAGACTAGCTCATATGATCATCGCAGGCGGTCCCTTAAATCCTCTATGGTGGGATTCATTATGGGCTTGTGTCAGTGTATTTGGGGGTGTATTTGGGGTCCCTTCGGAGTATTGAAGAGTGTATGCATTCAGAGTCCAATTTGGAGAAAATGAAAACGATGGTGGGTCTTACCACCCCTACATTACCACGGCCTTGCACGTGTTGTTATCTTCTTTAACCACGCTGATTCTACAAATTCCGGCAAACTACATCACATGTGGCAAAGGCCTAAATCTGAGCCCCTCCACAGTATTTAGAATAGCTGCCTTCTTACTGTCTTTAGGGTCTTTTGGAACTTTCTTTTAGAGATTTTTCAGGTGGTGTCGTGAAGGTGGNNGATTCCGTGAAGCACGATTACTTCAGATGCCGAACCTAAAGGTCGCCAATGTTGGGGATTCCCGGGCCATCACAGTGGACGGCTCAGGAGGCGAGATTGCAGGGGAATCATGTTGATAGAGGAATACTAGTTGGGTGTAGAGTTTAGCGTTGCATGTGCTGCCCTAAGCCTCCCAACTACTTGGGGTTACAGTGCCTCAAGAGTAGGCCTAGGTTGGGGAGTTACATGGGTCAGCCCGGTAGTTGTCAGTAGTGCTAGTTGTAGTTGTCCTTGTTGTTGTAGTCACATGAGGCCCTGCCTCGGGATCGCATGCTACGGCGACCAGAAACCCAAAGAGCTTTGAGTACACAGAAGGGATTCCTTGTGTGTGTGGGTCCTTCGTTGAGCCCTTTCGCGGGGGTTTCCTGAGCCTGTGGAAAGGTTCCCAGCGACTTTCTGTTGACCATCGTCCAACAGACCCAGCTGAGGCTGGCGCTTGAAAGAGCGGACGATGTGGGTTTCTTTTTGAAAGCTATGAGTCCTTTGCTTGCGTCCTTCTTGTTTACGGGAGTATGTAAGGGGAACCCTCGTTTCAGGGACCCTAAACCCTGAAGCCTGACCCCCACGCGTTTTTTTGCATACTTGCTGGAGTTGGTGATTGGTCCGCAAGGCGAGGCGAATCCGAGAGGAAGGTGGATTTGTCACCATGGGCCGCGTCTCAGGCGCTGTAGTCGCGGGTGGATATACTCATCTAAGACCAGGGCCTGCTTTGAGAATTTCTCTGGCTCGCGTTTAGGGCCGGGTTAGGTTCAGGATTTCCAGGTGGGGGCAAGAGTAGAGCTGGCAAGTCTGGCACAGATAGCGTACCCGTGATTGTTTTTTTCTCCCGGAATAATTAGAATCCCGGTCAATTTTCAGCTTGCTGTGTCTCTCACAGGGTCCAAGAAAGGTGGCCTGTTGCGATCATCCTCCCATCTCTGGGGTGTAATGTAAGTGTGTAATGATGATACTCTAGGGTACCTCGAAAAAAACCTCAAGATTGTATCAGGAATTATGTAGGCACCCACCCAGAGAGCCCAGCTTCCATTTCATTCCTCCATTATTGCAATTATCTAGGTTCTGACTACATGAGCTATAGTCCAAACTCCTAGTATCCCCATAATAACCCCTACAGTAGTCCCCTCTATAATCCCCTATATACCCGCCTTTAAGGAGTTTAGACTATAGTACACATGACGCCAGGATTTTTTGGGGTGGACCGACTTGGGGGTCGACTCGTGGTCAGCTAGTGCCTCATAGTGCACTTGAGAGAGTCTTTGCACCACTTAGGAACCCAATATATTGCAATATTTAGGGTACATGGTAGATTAGGTGCTGCAAGAATTCCTCCATCCTCCGTATACTGCCCTCACCTTAACATTTCCCGCAGCAAATAAGCGTTTAAAGTTTAGGGGTTTCGTGTTTAGTGCTTAGGACAGGAACCCTAAAGCTCCATGATTTGGAGGTAGAGGGTGCTCAGCTAGAGGTGGTATGGGATCCTATGAAAATCCTAGGTTTGGGGTTGCTCCAGGCTCCAGATATGAGGGCTAAGGATGGAAAAAGTCTGTGGACCAAATCAGCCACCAAAAGGACTCAGGACTTGAGTTGTGTGCATCCACTACCCTTCAGCCTGCATGATCTCAGTATGCTAGAAGACTCCCATTCCCAAGGTATGAGTCACCAAGATATGTTTATAAATTTCCCTTAAGTAGATAGACTATGGCTTTGGGTACGTTCTAATAAGATCTCCATATACCCCATATTCTAACTACTAAAGGGGGGCTATGGGTACAAAGCGTGTGTCACAGGCGAACTTGCCGTAAGCCGTGCGCTTGGAGACCTGCTGCTGAAAAATTCAGGCCCTTCTAGGGTTTACGGTCTAGGGTTTAAGGGTTTAGGGTTTTAGGGTTAACCCCTACAGTAACCCTTCAACTACTTCACCGTCAGACTCCTGCAACTGATGCTTGGGGTCCTTCACAGCCCCTTATTCGGTTTTTTCATAGCTGAAACCAGGATCCCTTCTTTCTTCGATGGTACCAAGGGCTAAGTAAGAGTCCAAGTAGCCATATGGGTATTGGTCTAAATTCCCTATAATACAGGGTCCTATATTTGGGTTCCCATTAGAATACGGGGCCCTATATAAATTTCCCCCATTTTGGGAACAGTAATTTAGGGAAACTACCATATACTGTATTCTCAGCTAGATTGCAAAGGGCCTTCTTTTGGCAAATCCTTTTGGCCCAAAGTTGGGGAAAGATTCCCATTTGGTTCTTCGACGTCACCGGATTTCGAGTGGAGCATTCTGAGGTTCATAAGGGGTTTAGGGGTTTAGGGTGTTTAGGATTTAGGGGTTTAGGGGGTTGGGGGTTTAGGGTTTAGGGGTTTGCCAGGGAGGATGACAAGTTATTGCTCGGTTTCCACACGCGTCCTCATTTTAATATGAAATGCCCAAAGAGCATTGCAGCCTTGCAGGCAACGGGAGAACTTGCAGCACCTTGCAACCAAAAAATCGTTGTGGCAGCCTAGATGTTTACCAAGATTTTCTGAAATTCGTAAACTTGATATAAGTATAGTATAACATACACAAAATCATTTTCAACATTGTAAATACCTTACAGGACCAGGCTGATGCAAGCCAGCATGCCCCTTTTAGAATCTACATGGGTTCCCACAAAAAGCAATTACTGTATGCTCTACAACTGGGCTTACTATTTGTGGAAACCGCTATGAAGGTTGACTTTGACCCTGTGCTAGCGCAGGTTCGCAGCGCAAGCTGCCTTCTGAGAATGATGTCTTTGAGAAACGCTATGTACACCAATGATTGATCAAGGCCCCCTATGCATGCAGGCATGGGCGATTACCTGTTTGTTCGATAGCCATTCTCATCCAAAACAAGCGTTTCACCGCACAGGAAGCACTTCTCGAACCGACCTCCCACAGTCCTGAAGCAAACCTAAAACATGAACCTACACCCTGAATTTTGAATTCCAAAGTGACAAACCTGAACCCCGAGCCTTAAATCCGAAGAGAGGTTGTTGCAAGAGTATCGAAAACCTGAACCCTGAACTCAAGATCCTAAACTTTAACTCCTGAACCTGTAGCCCTAAACCCCAGACCCTGAACCCTAAACCCTAAACCCTGAACCTGCCAGGGCTTAGCTGCAAGCCTTCAGTGCGCGTGCACGACTCCAAACGAGACCTTGCACTGGTCCCTTGCCTGTGCAATGAAGAATGTGGAGCACATGGGGAACATGGGTTTAGGGTTTAGGGTTTAGGGATATGTGGGGAGATGTAGGGATACATCGGGATGTATAGGGGCAGTGAAGGATTCAGGTTTAGGGTATCATGGGGTTACATGGGCCCCCCAGCAGCCCCAGCACATGGGCCCCCACAAACGAAGGCCTCGCTTACCAGGGCTTCTTTGGCTTCATGAGCCTGTTGAGCTCATAGTATGGGTGTGCTCATTCTGGGTATATTATGGGATATCATGGTATATTCAAGTACATTATCGTATACTATAGTATATTATAGTTCATGATAGTAAGCAGAAGCTTCAATCTTCCTGGGGCAATGTCAAGCACAATAGAAACCAAAGCTGAAGTCTTCGAAGAACAGCTAGAAGCTGGGATCCAAGGTCTTGGCAAGCGATGGGCTGTGGGATTTTGCTGATGAGAAGGCACGTCGGCGTGACTAGTTGTCCAAGTATGTCAAAGTGGCATTCTCAAGAGGTGATATGGGAGTAGGTGTTTCACATCAGGGACCTGCCTTCATCCCGAAGGGGGGTGCCTAGAGGAGCAAGCGGCTTGGTCTCTAGGGGCACCACCTCTTCCCACAAGACAGTTGTGAGTGATCCAGGGTTGGTGCCTGCAAGGGAGGCCAAAATGGCTTCATGCACGCGTAGTTTTAGTTTGTATTGTTAGTACTGTTATCATTGTTCCAATTCTCCAAGCCATGGGTTTTAGGGATAAAGTCTTTTCACGGTAAGGCCGCCGCCGCCCCCGGGGCAGTAGACCAAACGGCAGTGTCTGGCAGCTTGCAGAGAATCCCATTGCTATGACAGTATAGACTGCTTCCATTGACCTGCCATTCAAATGCACGTTGATATCGCCATGCAATATTATAGCACGAGGCTGATATACACGCGCGTATTCACAGCTTATGGTGCTATCGCAGCTTTGGCTCCATGTTTGCTGCTTTTCAGTTGTTCGATTCGGGCTTGGCGCTTGTGCAGTAAGACCGTGAGCTGTGGGTTGTGACTTTCTGTCAGAAGGTTGCCAGATGCTCATTTGGGCGTGATCATCATCGCCGAGTATTCCGTGACATTCATGAACCCAAGCATCCCAGATTCTGCGGAAGATGCGTTGCATGTCTGGAACGCTGCAGGAAAAGCGCTGTTTTCCGGGCGAGTAGAAGGGCTGAGTGACGTGCGGACGCTAAAGCGGCAACTGCAGGAGCTGTGCGGCGTACCTCGATTTCGGCAAAGGCTTTTGCATGGCAACGTTGTCTTGGATGATGATGCCCAGTTGGATTCCCCCGTCAACCTACAGCTGGTTCTGTTACCTTTTTGCAGCACGTCGTACGTTCAAGTGATTGAGCTCCATAAAGCCGCGGAGACTGGTGATGTGTCAGCATTGGAAAAACTCTTACAACGACCTCAAAACCCAGAGCTGCAACTAGAAGAAGGGTCTGATTGGGACTCGGGTGACGATGGCAGTGAGCTTGATGACTATCGGCAGGTTCCGCTGAGCACAGCATCTTTTGAAGGCCATGTGGAGAGTGTGCAGTTGCTGTTGGAAGCTCGTGCGCACAGTGATGGTTGCCGGGAAACTGACATCACTGGCGCGTGGACTCCTCTCTGTTGCGCATCCTCCCGTGGCCATGTGGAAATTGTACGATTGCTCCTCAAGGCCGCAGCCAATCCGAACGGCCTGCGCCAGCAAAGAGCTTCAAAGCCTCTATGCCTGGCAGCTACCGCTGGCGAGCCGAGCATTGTCCGTATGCTCCTCGAGGCTGATGCCGACAAGGATGCTTTCGATCTTGATGGGGAAACGGCTCTCTGCAAAGCTTCGTGGGAAGGCCACATGGAAATTGCAAGATTGCTTCTGTCAGCTGGAGTTGACATCGATGCCTATGATGGGAGCGATGGTTGCACTGCGTACCCACACGGCATTAACTCTTGCAAGTTTCGTCCGCCACGGGTCAGTGGGACCCCGCTTTGCGCGGCGTCAGAGTCGGGCCATGAAGATGTGGTTCGTTTGTTGCTGTCAGTTCATGCTTATACAGAGGCACGCAACGCTGAAGGGGAGACTCCGCTATGCTCGGCATCTTTGACAGGGCACTTGGTTATCGTGCAGCTGCTTTTGGGTGCTTTTGCTGACATAGATGTTTTCAACAACAACGGCGAAACTCCTCTCTGCGCAGCATCATTCGAAGGCCACATAGACGTGGTAGCGTTTCTTCTCAAAGCTGGGGCTGACAGGAATGCTGCCGATGAGAACGCAAGCAACATTAGATTAGGGGTAGGTGCCAAAAAAAGGTTTTCGCATAGCGAGTATTGGACGGGGGGCATGACACCTCTATGTGCCGCATCATGTACTGGCAGTTTGCGCATCGTGCGGTTGCTTCTGAATGCAGGTGCGAATGATGCCGCGCCCGACAGCAAAGGCAACACCCCCTACAGCCTTGCGTTGCGTGCAGGCCATTTGCAAATCTGCAACTTCTTGAAGGCCTGGGATGCAGATGCCCAGTGCCGCAACATCAAGAACAAGCGCCACAAGCGAGACTGCTGACGCAAAAGCATGAGCAGTCATGAGTCATGATACTACGATAGTGGCCGAGCTTGGTGCCTGCCTAGGTCACTGCCAATCCTGAAACTGCAGCAACAGTGTCAAGGATAGTATTACGTACTTTGTGAGGATGCAGATGTTCCCAGAGATTGCAGTTGTATTAGCGCGACATGTCCTCGGCAGGCGTTATCCCACGCTTGTTATCTGCAAGCCTGTGATCAGAGTCTTCCTTCCTTGCTAAGTGTCTCATCCCGGCCTGCTCTTGCACATTTTTCAGAAGTCAGCCCAGGCTACATTCAACTAGGCCATGGTTGTTCGCGCTTTCGAGTATGCCTTGGGCAGTTGCTTCGAGTGGATACTGTTTCATCCATGTGGTGTTCAGTAAGGCATGAGGGAAAGCAGCAGAGGGATCAAAATGGGACAGGACAACGCAGTATTCCCGTCACAACCTTCTCAGTTCAGACCTTGGAAGTCATCTAACCCCTTCATGCTAAAATGGAATCCCCCCACACCCCTGGTACCAAACATGGCCCCCAATATATGAGGTCTCTGAAAAAGGAATATTTAAGATTCGGGGGTGGAGGCCTAAACCCTAAACCCTAAACCGTGTGCTTCTTTTCTCCGGCTCGCCTTCCAGGACGTCGCAAGAGTCGTCGTGTCCTGCAGCGGCTTGGTTCCACTTTAATCCAGCAGGTGATCGGTTTAGGGATTAGGGTTTAGGGATGATTTCTCAGCATACGAAGGCAAGCCAATTCTCAAGCTATATGGTTCTTTGGGTTATGCGGGATTTTCAGTATCCACCATCTAAGCCCTCTATAACTCGGGTTTGCATTTGATTTCCACGAAACATCTCGAGTTAAATATCTCGAGTTTCAGCCAACTTGCTGGCTGAAGGATGACAATGTCCCAAATCTAGCTAGAATATGGGGTATGTTATTGGGGTTACATAGGGATAATGGAAAAGAAAATGGAAACTACTACAATGGGGATTATATTGTGTTTATAGAACCTGTGTGGTCGAACTATAGATGTGGAGTTTCCTCAAACGTCACCTGTAGCACCCTTGCGCATGAACCTTTTAGTCCCGGTGTAACCCGCATGTGCGCAGGGTCCCTAGGTGATTGCCCCTCCGTGCTTCATTGCGGCAGTGTGCCATGTTTGCGCAGATGCCTCCTCGACATTTGTGCGAATCCCTACCCTCCAATGTGGACCTCAAGCACAACCTCCCACGCCAAATATCCATATGATCAAGTATTTCACGTGGTGTAGGAAGTACCTAGGCACGAAAAGCTTCAAGTTACCGATATCCCCTACCCTCTGACGGCCGCCTGTAATCCCAGTGACCATTTCATTTTCCATTTGTGTTTGCATTTGATGCTCTTCTATCGGGGCTTATATGCATATGTACGTGCCCAATATAAACCCCAAATACATACATATACATATATGCAGTAGTTTCCACTTCATTTCCCCTTCGCTTGTTCAGCTGATTCTCCACTATTGAGTAGAAGCAGATTGTTTCCTGTCATCCCCAAAACCCTCGGCTGGGTTGCTGTCAAGGAACTGAATCTAAGTTAGTATAATAAGGGCACCCTACTATATAGTAACCAGATTTAAGGTTGCCGGAAAGAACTTAATTCGATAAAGTATGATAAGGAAATCTTATTATATAGTGATTTAGTTTAAGTTCCTTATCAGCAACCTGGTAGATTGGACAGGGATGGCTTTCCACCAACCTGGCTCAAATCACGCCCAGGCCGGAACGGGCTCGACCATGTTGCTCACAGGCCCGTGCTTATGGGGGCCTTGCAAAGCAGTCAAATCGGTGTTTCTGGAAATTTTGGGGTTGATTTTGAGGCAGAGGCAATAATAAAGATTATCAATACTCGGTTCTGTTGCGGGGCCTTTATGGAAAACCCAAGGATAGCAGGAGAGGGTTTCCCACAGAAAGGAATTCAGACGCCTGGTGTTAGGCTTTTGACTGCAGAAGCATGAATGGCAATGGATCAGCATATCGGGGCATCAAGCACGAGCAGCTTACTAGATGAGTTCCAACACAGTCAGCCTCTGGCCAAGTAATTACTGGGGTCTCACGGAACCTGAGTGGATTCGAGTTTGGCCCTTGTTTCATATTTCGCTCAGCAACGCTACGCGCTACAAGGAGGAGGTCAGTCCAAATGTTAACATGACAAGCGCAGTGACGCAGAAGCTTGAACGGCCAGCATGGCTGTTCGGCTGTCTTCTGGTCTTCTGGGTAACATTTCTCCTCTTGTTTTCATACATGGCACTCCCGAAGACCACCGTCTGTTCCTGCCCTCTCGAGTATAAGCATGGCGGGAGTCAAGAAACCCGGCGGCGGCGCTGGCAGTGGGCGGTGGCCGGTGGCGGTGGTGGCGGTGGTGGCGACGGTGGCCGCGGCGGTGGTGATGGTGCTGGTGATGGTGGTGCTACTGCTACGCGAACCGTTAGATTGCCAATCTGTGACCTTGAATGAGGCTTTTCAACTTTTGCTGTCCTGCCTTGTAACCCCAATATCATAGGGTCACCTTGCGGAGGGACCAAACCCTTTGTAGACACCCCTAGATATCCAGTCTTTGCAGAAGCATCAAAATGAGATGCCGAAATGCATCAGACTCCTGTAGCAGGCCACATTTATTTGGGTGAATTGGTTCCTCCGCGCCAGCCATGGCAGTTGAAGAATCCAGGAGTCTTTTTCGTTTCTGCCCAATTTTCAACATCAGCGACCTGTGGTGGAAATTATGAGTCAAAACGAATGGTGGCCATATCTAACATGTTGTGTCTGCCTTCAGGCTTGTGCAAGAAGCACAGCGAACCGGCAACTCGGCGAAGCGCAACATCCAACTTCAAGTACAGGATCCTGTTCTAGGGCAGACGTGGGGCTGCCTTGGGAGACAAGCTGCTTTTGGGGATTCCCAATAGCAGTAGTAGTAGTAGTAGTAGTAGTAGTAGTAGCAGCAGCAGCAGCAGCAGCAGCAGTAGGAGTAGTAGTAATAGTAATAATATTAGTCACAGTAATCGTAATAGTAATAGTGACAGTAGCAAAAAGTAATCATAGTAATTTCGCTCATTGACTCGTGTTTGGAAAGTCCGAGGCATGGTACCCATTGCACATTCTTGGATTGCAGGGTTTTTTAGACTGCCCTAACTTCAGGGCAAAACACATGTGATCGCATCTTTGAGGGTTCACCCCAAAGCCCTACCACCAACGTTACTCAAGGGGGCATACTTACAGAGGGGCCTATACGTACAATGTAATGTAGTTTGCTCCCATCACTAAGAAGATAGAGTTGAACAATGCATTGTCTTCCAGGCATCCTGACGCAATTTAGGGCTCAGGGTGTGCGGCTTATCAAGCTGAGGCTCCATGGACAACATCACCTGCCTAGCGATCTTCATGTGAGCTGTGGCAGAAAACTCGGCAGACGTTGGGTTTGGCTGTTCGATTTGGGCTTTGAGCCTCCAGGGCTCAAAAAGAATCTAGGGGAGTTCAAGGAGCGCATGCGGGTTTCTCGCTGCTTTCCTTTCGACAATAAGGGAACCACAGCAGGTTTAGCGTATACGGAGGGGGGGCCTGCATTTCGCTCCAAGCTTTGTGAGAAGCCTTTGTACAAGGAGTTCTGGCGAAGCCCACGTGCTCTTCCCCAAACTAATCACCTCCCCCTATCCAAGAACCCCCCGCGGAACCCCTTAACAATAACTCCTTTCCCTGATATGAAATGGTATTGCAGTGTGGATATTTATCATTACGGGGTGTTGCGGATGTATTGCTAGGGGGAGGGGATTAACATGGAACCAAAGTTCATGGAGACTTGGGGGAGGCATACGCTTGAAACCCTAAATCCTGAACCCTACCCTAAGGCTCCTGGACCCTCATTATAGGATCCTAAACCCTAGCCCCCAAAGCCCAAACTTCCCCCAGAAGGCCACAAATAGTCCTAGGACCCTAAACCCTAAACCCCAAACCCTAAACCGCGTGTCATAGCTTTGGCCTGACTTTGCTGGAGAGCTCCACAGCCCACCGCAACGAATGCAAGGGCCTGAATATGTGGGGGGTTTTGTGTATAGGGTTTAGGGTTTAGGGGTTAGGGTTTGGGGTTTAGGGTTTAGGGTTTTGGGTCCAGAGTTGTGGGGGCTTAGGGTTGTGGGGGTTTCCCCAAATTGGGGGGGGTCCTCATAATTCGGCTATAGCATTTTGAAGTCCACATTGACGTCCCCTCATTTACAGAAGTACCATGTAGGCTATGCTCAAGATTTGGAACCCGATCTTCTGAAGAATTGCAGCATCTTGAGATATATTGCTGTACATGCTCAAACAGGTTTAACATCCTTTCTGGACGCCACATATTGTACGACACCTAGTCTTTTGGGGTCAAACGGTGGGACCATTTCGAAAACTACCCACGCAGAAAGCACGATGGGGAGAACCCGAGTCATGACCTGACCAGGGCATATCCTACAGCCTACTATCATGGGACCCTAAACCCTAAACCCTAAACCCTAAGCGTTTCGTAATCTGCCTACCTAGATTCCTACATCATCCCAGCTTTCATTTCACTCTTCATGTTCTTTCCACTTGGTTTTCCATGCTCAGGGCAATATCCTCAAACCTTATATTATATTCCCTATATAGCCCTCTATCCCTCAAAACAACATTATTACGGGGGTCCACCTCATCCATATCTGACGTATTTAGGCCCCTGTTGTACCTTGCATGCACGCACGGACCTGCTGACGGGTCTGAAAGGTTAGGACCCGGCCGCAAGGGGATCGAGGAAAGAGGGGGGGCTTAGGGTTTGGGGTTTAGGGATAAGGGTTTAGGAATAAGGGTTTAGGGATAAGGGTTTAGGGATACGGTTTGGGGATAAGAGTCCAAGGTTTAGGGATTAGGGTTAGGGATTAGGGTTTGGGAGTTTTCAATAATGTGGTGTTCCTTTTAAGAGGTTTTTAGGGATGTAGATATGTGTCCGGTTTGGGGTTTCCAA